GTGAAAACGAGGTCAAAACACTTCTAAAGTCGCCTAATGTTTGGAGCAGAAGATTCCTGGTCTTATTGGCGTAGGGTGGCTGATGGTACCGACATTGTCACAACGAAGGTGAAAGTTCATTCGACTATCGCCTATGACAATACTGTATTGTATGAGGCTTCATATAGCTAATCTAAAACCAGCTTTAGCTTCTATTGCTATTTTAAACATCTAAACTATGTTCTTTCGCTTCTTTAAAGTAGTACCACAAATAGTGAGATAGGTTTAGACGGAGGTAAATCCCTAATTGGGCTATACAGAAAAAGAATATTTTGCAGTCAAGATACACCACAAATAACCCAGATACCTCAAACCTTTCGCACGTCTTGCCTGACGTACACCTGAGGTACAGTTCTTGAAATACGAGAAGGATGTACCGTACGAAAGCTCAGAATAAGTAGAAACTGTAGTCCAGCTAAGATGTGAAACGTTTTGTGAAGTAAGGCTAAGTGAAATTCCATGGCTTTATGAGGCCTGCTCATGTAATTTTTCAGAATTCTCAAATTTCGCTCCTTGTCTCATCGTAAACGTCTTAAAGTGACCTATATTCCTACTAAAGATCCACTGACAAATTCTAAAAATACCGACTACGCATATTGAACTACTACAATATTATGCGAATCTTGCAGGTGATCATGATGAAGCCCTGCCTCGAGACGGACAGGGTATAAAGAGCCTTTCGAGACGATGTTAGACTCTAACACGGAGCCTCGACAGGATTCAACATCGCTGACCAGAGTGAGCCGATGATATCCTCGCTGAACCAATTCGGATAATGTCTTCTCACAGTAAAACTTGTGGTCTGGAAGAGTCTCTTGGATTCTGCTCTGCTGATGTTTTAAACCTCTGAAGCCCCGATCTTCTAAATGAAGGAAGATTATTGCAAGCACATCACCTCGATTTTGTGTTTTGATACGTGGCATAGTCAAACCACTGTAGACTCAACATGTTCATAGGTTGTCACAGCAACGCTCCTCAGACTTTTTAACGAATCTAACTCTAGTATTAACATCTCAGATCTGCCGAGTTGACGGTCCGGGGTGGTCCTCCTGCAAATGCCGATCAAGGTTTGGAGACCCAGATTCATTGGCCAGATGGCAGAAATGATATAACCATTCAACTTCGCGGTTAATAGAAATGCGAAATGAAATTCATTTATGTATAAGCCTGAGATATATAGTGCAGAGTGTAAGGTACAACTTGACTATTATGGATAAACACTTTTGTTTTTCTGTCTATTCGGGCCAAGTTAGACGGGGGAAGGTATTACTTTCATGTACCAACAGCTTTGTTATCCAGAAAGTTTCGGCTAATGTTAATTCCCTTTTTATGATGACTATGAAGAATTAACTAGAATATACCTACCTCTAAGCCTTTATGTGCTCTCATTCCTTCTTCTTGCGTCTTGATCAGACTCTATAGGAAAGATAAGACCGAGATGGTGTGGCCTTTTTGTGGTCGCAGTCTCTTTTCGTTGTATAGAAGTTGTTTGACCTTGTTCTCGCAACTTGGTCATGTCGGTGGGAAGACTTAGAGGAACACACCTAGTCCGGAGTCCATTGTATGCATTATCATTTACAAAGTCGGACCATGGACGTGGTACATTCCCATACGCTTAGCCGGCATCGTAGTCGGCATCGTCAGTGAGTCTTGCCAGTCTTAGCACCACACTACAATTAGTCAAAGAGACAACTGAAGCCGATCATTTGACCAAATGTGTGCTAAACAGTTGTGGTATATCTCCTGTCCTGGGCTATTCACCTCTCCTATATCCTCGTATCACGTCTTCAATATCACAATTTTTCCTTACTTATTTAAGTCTAGTGTGGCGTGCCTTTTTGAGCGGCTTTTATGAGAACCCTCCACACTCCACGCTGGCGTATCATGTATACAATAGAGCCCAGACTAGGTGCGTTCCTCTAAGTCTTCCTACCAATATGACCAAGTTGCGAAAACAAGGACAAACAACTTCTATAGGTACAGTTTTCCAAATCTAGCTGTTCGCAAATAATAACATTGCGCTATACGTTAATAAGACACCGACAATTTCAACCATCTAAAAAAAGGTTGAGTAGCTCGGCTTTGTCACTGAATTTAACTCGTCACTACTAAGCTTTTCTGATTTAAAAATATAAGCATTTCTTACCATAAGCCCCCAAGAACTTTCTGTAAAAACATAACAGTACATGACCATATTTATCCTGTATGACTTTGTCAACCAAAATACTCGATATATATATTATACTGGATAATAACTCGGATGATCCTATATTGTGCGAAGAAAAGTTGGGTTTTGAGGAATATTTTTGTTTATAATTGTTGAACCCACTTCCATTTCGAGTGAAAGTGTTTGGTGAAGAGATTCAAAGGTCGATCCCACCAGAAGGCGATAGGTGATCTCCGTTAACCAGCTGTCGATTGGCTTTAGTGGAACATTCTTGTTGGCTCAGTTTCCGAGGCAATCTTCTTCGATTCAGGTGAAAACTTGCCGAGCTTACGGCCATCGTTTGATGGAAATAATCAGAGCAGATCATCATCCTTACAACCATATTCAAGCCAATGAGTCTAGAATTTTATTGACGTACGAAACCTTGGTCAAGAGAAATTCGTCATCGTCTTCTGGTGGTATCGACCTTGGAATCTCTTTGCCAAACACTTTCACTCGAAATGGAAGTGAGCTAAATGATCTTAGAATATTTGAGAATACAAAATAAAACGCCGTTTATAAAATTAAATGATGTATTTTGATTTCTCCTAGCCCTGCCCCCAAAAAGGCTTCTTTATTAAGGATGGACTGCAGTTGTCACTTCACCTGAATCTCCCCAAATCCTCCAATGGAAATTCGGAATGTATTCGTGCGCATTAAGCCATTACCTTATCCTTTAAATGATACAACAAAGGATCGGTGTTTAGAGAACCAATTTGGACCTTTTCGCTTACTCAAAGGAACCTACCGTTTCACGCGAAGTTGCAGAACGTGACCTCGGCAGTTGGCGATCGCATCCGCTTCGTGTGGCTCGAGCTCCCAGCCGATATGGCCTTCAAGATGCACAAGCTCGTCACCACGCAGCAAAAGTCCTTCAGCCGGACTGGATGCAAAAACCTAAGGTTTTGTTAAGACATTGGCAATATAAGTTATGTACAATGAATTAATTTAATCTTAGCACATCGTCCAAACATTCAGTTAAAAATGTCATTAAGTTTGGCGAATTTATTCAAACCCCAACTCAACTTCGGATGGCGCTTGTAAAACTATTGTTATTTACGCATCCGTTTAAATTTTTATAAATATCTCGTAATATTATGACACAAAATATTCTGATATAAAAGATAAGCACTAGCATCATTTTTTGAAATCTTTCCCTTTTGTACCCAACTACTAATATACAATTCAGTAACCGTAACCAATGCTTTTTTTACCACTTAGCAACCCACTATTTAAATAAAGACTTGCTTCATACTTTGGACCTTTCCTTTAAGGTGAGGTAAAGAAGGGTGATTGGGGCTTAACAATAAAATGAATAGATTTCGCAAAGGCATTTTATCTCAAAAGGCTTTCTCATCCAGGCTAGACTGAAATCTCGACCTCACCTAACCAAGGGTCTCATCAGCACCCCAGACGTGATTCGAAATCTGGTCGTGCTTCCCATTCGACAGTATGTTACCATTCAATTATATAGTCCCGACTATCATTAGGTCACGGGATAGATTTGATTTTCTATGCAAGCCAGCAATCCCTTTTAGCTATTTGCTCGCGGTCTAAATCGACATTATTATTATATGTCGAGTCAGTAGTTTCGAAACAATCCCTAGCTGATGGATAAGCATTTAAGCTAAGTAAAATTCTTCTAATAGCTTAAAAACTTGCCCAACCGGTATATTATTTTTTATTTCGTATGAAAGTTTATGATGAAGAGATTTGAAGGTCGATCTCAGCATAAGACGACGACCGATTCTCTTTATACTGCAGCCGTTTGGTTTTAATTCAATGCCCAGGATGATGCAGTCCATGAGACATCCTCTCTTGTTTCCGGTAAAAACAGGTAAGGCTTTCGTCTATCTTATGATAGGCATCTTTAGAGCTGGAACTCATCCTTTC